TAAATTTTAGAAATTTTTAGGGGATTTAGAAAAATCGTTTGTTTCAGTTTAATAGTACAATCGACATATCTAGTAAAATGTACAGGAGTCCAATCAACTATTTATATGTAATATCAAAAATTTATGAAATAATGTTTAAATTAAGACAGATTTGATGGAATTTTTTTGGTAATTGTGGAACAGTAAAACATCAAAGGGAATTTACAAAGATATCATTCTAAATTAATACTAGAGTACGTCGAGTACCGAGTAATTGGAAAAAAACCGAGCTAGTGTAATCCGAGTTTGAAAAACCCGAGTTCGAGCAACTTTTTAGATCGAGTCGAGTAACTCAAACTCGCGCGACTCGAACGTACTCTAATTAATACCACAGAAATTTAGTTTTAACAGTCCAAGTTCACTAAATCCTTTCTTAGACCTTTCAGGGAATATTTATTTATTCGGTTCCTTTTCTTTTACGTTCATTTTTGTTTTTTTTATATCCACGTTGTTTTTTCCACATGCATTACATAAAAGATGCCCATATATTGAATGACGGCGCCAAGAGCTTGTTTTTGTAACTCCACAAGTATAACATTTACGATCCTGCTGTATTTAAAAGAAGACTATCTATGTTTGTTGTGGGGCACACCCAAAAGGCCCAAAGCCATAATTTGTTTGAAGATTTCCGAAAATTTAGTATTAAACGATTCCTCACACCGAGCTAAAGAGATGGTATCTAATTGATAGGGGCCAGAAATTTTCCAGCGAGTTATGGCTTTGCGCCGTTAAGGCCGTGCGGCCTTTAGGGCTGTACCGCTATATTGTTTTCAAATCATTTACTCCACCTAAAAAACTTATTTTAAACCTTTAAAGATCTAAATGCCAATTCTATAGGTCTCATCTTTACATATTTTCGATTGTAATTGTCACAGTTGTGACACAAAAAATGTTCTTTTAGATATTTATACCAATGTTGTGAAATTTGTGTAGTTCCACAATTGAAACAATGTCGTTTATTTCTTTCAATAATTTCACCTATAACAATAGAGCACGAGAATATTTTTATTAAGAATTCCAAAAAAAAATTATTTACTTATTTTATTGCCAATGTAAATAATTCTGCTTTTTTCTTTAGAATATTCAACTTTTTGTTTTTCTAACAATTCAATTTTATATCCAATTAAATTAATTTCCGTCCAATAACCTGACAAAATTTTCTTTTTATAATTTTCAATGTTTTCTAGTAACATTTCTTTTTTATTTATTTTAATATTTTCTAAACTTTCATCCAATATAGAGGTTTCATAATAATTTTTATTTTTATTGAAATTATTATTTAAAAGTGCCTTATATTTATGATTAAATTATTGAAATTCATATGATTATGTTTTGGACTTTGTATTAGAGTTAGGACTTTCTCATTTTAAAAAGTAGAAGACGGAAGAAACAATATAAGATAAAAACAAAAAACACCCAAAAGAGCAAAGGATAAAATTATATCATTTTCTGTGTCATAAATAATTAGCCCCCCTTGAGCAAAGTTAAATAAATATTTATTAAAATTAAACTAAATGTTTTCAGACTTCGAATTATATTTTTCTATGATCCTAAGAGAGTTGCCTATTTTCTGGCAAAAAATCAGAATCCTAGGATTAAGTTGGCATAAGTTAGAGGTGAAATACTAAAACTTGTATTTTTTAAACGAGGCAAATTCTTTTTGATTTTTCTTTTCAAAATTGATGAGTAAGAATGAAAATTTAAATGGATTCTGGTAGAGCAGAATCTGATGAATACAATGATATAAAAAATTCCCCTGAAAAACAACTGGCTGATTTTTTAGAGGGTCGCATTTGTGAAATAGGGGCTAACATTATGCTGCTTTAGGATAACCCTCGCGCGAAAATGCCCAGCGTGGCCAGGCGACCAAATTTTTCACTGGACTCGATCTATATGGGAATAATACAATTTGGGGGTAATAGTTTAGCCAGTTTAAACTATATTCCAATGATTACCTCGCCGCGACACCACCAAATACATAACAGATCACGCTGTTGGACCAGTCTGGATTAGAGGTCAAAATTGCTGGTTAGCTGGGATAAGCCGTTCCTTTTTGTTTACAGAATTCATGAAGGCAACCCACACTTCCTCATAGGTTAAAATTTGTTTCAAATAAGGAGCTTCATTGTGGCATTTAACGGGTTGTTTTGCAAAAGTGACTTAGTGATTTTTTTGATTTTGCGGCAATTCATGGGGTATCAATCGACTCTTCATAACTTGATACCCGCTGTCGCGAAAGGCGACTTATCTTTTTACCATTTTGTCCCCTGTCTTTTTATTAAAAATATTTATTTTTAATTTTCCCCTTTTAATCATGCTTATTCATAGAAAAACGCCTACTTTCTCAAATTCTTTAAAATTCACTTTGTACTTTTGTGAAAATTCTATTTTTCTTTAAAATCCGCCCCTTTTTCTGACTATAAATAATTTTGGGCTTTCTCAAATATCCAGAGCTCTTCTAGAATTTAATTGTGTTTAAATAAAGTTCCTTCTTCTGTTTTTTAAAGTTTTTAATTTTAAATAAAAGTTTTTTATTTGTTTAAAATTAATTTTATTGTTGGGAAAGAATTTCTCAACAAGTGGTGCCGCTACGTTTTGAACGAACCTGTTCAAAAGTTAAAATTGTTTGTAAAAAAATTATTTTTTTGTTTGTTGAAAAGTTAAAGAAAAATTGTTTTAAAAGAAACTTATAACTTAAAAGATTACGTTATATTTAAAAGTTTTAAGTTTAAGTTAAAATTCATTTGAAGTTAAACTTAGAAGTTTAAAGTTAAAAATTTATTTGAAAAGTTAAAAGTTAAGTTTAAAGTTTGAAGTTTAAAGTTGAAAATCTATTTGAAATTAAAGTTGAGAGTTTGAATTAAAAATTGAAAATGTCCGGTCCATATAAAAGAATGATCGGAACTGTTTTACAACGTTTGCGAGTTAGAATTGAAAATGCTGAAAGTATTTTAGTAAAAGATGAAATAGATGATGAAGAGAAAGAATCACTTCTGAATGACGGAAAAGGTATTCAGAAAATTTTAAAAACTTTAGATGAAAAGAACCAACTTTGGTTAGATTTTCTAAAAGTTTTAGATCCAGATGATAGAATAAAAGAAACTCAAGCTTATGAAAATTATACAGTTGAGAATAGACACTTCTATGAATGGATCGAAAAAGGAAGAGAAATTGTTGATTCAATAGATGAACTTGTTATTCAGAGAAATCCAGATACCTCTGAAAATAATTCAGTTGTAACACAAACAAACAATGTAGAAACTAGGGAATTAACTGTACAATTACCCAGACTTCAGTTACCCGAGTTCCATGGAGATCCACATCATTGGATTTCTTTTTGGCAAAGTTTTGAAAGTTCAATAGATAGACATAACTTTAGCCAAATTGATAAAATGAAATTTTTGCTTAATTGTTTAAAAGAAGAAGCAAGGAATGTTGTTTCAGATTTAATGTTAACAAATGAAAATTACCAGATCGCAGTCAATACATTGAAAGAAAGATTTGGTGATAAGAATATTTTAATCGAAGCATTGGAATCAGAATTATTTCGATTACCTACTTGTACAGAAAAATCAATTTCGTTAAAATATACAGTTGATAAAATCGAAAAAATATTTAGACAATTAGAAAGTATTGGTGAAAATACAAATAATTCAGTTATGACCTCAATGATAAAGTCAAAACTCAATAGAAGTTTTTTAATGGAGATTGCTAAAGAAGAAAAGACTTTAGGTAAAAAATGGAACACTAATGAATTAAGAAAAGCTCTAGTTGGAATGGTCAATATAAGAGAATCAGTGTTTCAGTCATCAAAACATTTTCAAGTTCCTCAAACAAGTAACCAAAATGAATTGAACCAGAAAAATAGAAATAATGAAAATTTTCAAAGATTTCAAAAAGTAAATCAAGCAAGAACTTTCCCAGTATTTACACATGCAAGAAATATTGTTTGTTATTTTTGCAACGGGAACCATTGGTCAAATTCTTGTTTAAAAGTTTTGGGCTTGGAGGAACGCAAGAAGCGTTTGATCGAACAAAACAGATGTTTCCGATGTCTTCGACAAGGACATGTTCTCAAAGATTGTCTTGTAAGAAGAAACTGTTCATATTGTAATGGAACTCATAATTCAGCCATATGTCCCAAAAGGAATTTTGAACATGAAAAACAATTCGATAATAATAAAAATAGACAAATGAACTATGTGACTGAAAAAGTAAATCCTGTGCACAAAAATAAAGTTTTTGAAAGGAAAAGTTGGAAAAGTAAAACTTCCTGTTGTCAAATTAAAAATACAGTTGAAAATCAACCTGAAGAAACTAAAAAGGAAGAAAATATTGTTAAGACTCAGAATATGACCGTTAATTCGTATAGTACTTTATTAGAACCATGGAACCCAATGTTAATGGTTTTAAAAGTCAAAGTATTTTCTCCGAGAAACGAAGACAAGAAAACTGAAATTTTTGTATTTCTTGATAGCGGAAGCGAAGTTTCTTACATTACTGATGAATTAACAAAGAAATTAAATTTACCAAAGTTAGGAGAAGGCTTTCTTGAAGTTTATACGTTTCAAGGAAATAAATCTGAAAAACAACAATCTGGTAAATACTTGCTTGGAATTGAAAGAAAAGATGGAAAAAATGAAATGATAGAATTGTTAAATATTAATAAAATAGCTAATGAATTACGTTCTGTAACTATAAATGAAATCTGTGGACATTTAAAATTAAAAGATATAAAAAACAATTTAGTTACAAACTTTGGAAAACCTGATTTGTTAATAGGTGTAAAAGATTTTTGGAGATTTTTTATTAAAAAGACTGAAATTTCGAAAGATTGTTATTTGGTTAATACTACAATCGGAAGTGTAATTTGTGGAGAAAATCAAAAAATTTCTCTAGAAAAGACAATACCAGTACAGACTCACATGGCTGTTAAATCTTTTGAAGAAATGCCTAGTGAATCAGAAATTAAATCTTGGTGGGATTTACAAAGTATAGGTATCAATGAAAATCCCGAAGAAAACGAAGATGAAACTGCTCAAGAATTGTTTAATAAATCAATTAGACAAGTTGACAAAAGATATAGAGTTAAATGGTTATGGAAAGATGAAATTCCCGATTTGCCTACTAATTATGGTATTGCTTATAAATGTTTGGAATCTTTGTTAAATCGTTTACAAAATGAACAAGGATTAGAAAATTTAAAAAGAATAGATAAAACTATACAAGACCAATTAAAGCTTGGAATAATTGAAGAGGCTTTCAAAAGTAAAGGAGAATTGGAACATTATTTACCGCATAGACCTGTTTTTAAAGATGATAAAATTAGAGAAGTTTATAATGCTTCTGCCAGATCTAAAGGTCATAAAAGTTTAAATGACTGTTTATTTCGAGGTCCATTAAAATTACCAGATTTAGCTGGAATGATTATGCGTTTTCGATTGTCTAAATTTCCGTTATTGGCAGATATAGAAAAGGCTTTTTTGCAAATTGAATTGGAAGAAGCTGATAGAGAAGTTACAAAATTTTTATGGTTAAAGGATATAAATAAACCGTTAAAATTCGATAATTTAATAATTTACCGTTTTACAAGAGTAGCTTTCGGAATTATTTGTTCACCTAGTCTTTTGGCTATGACTATTGAACATCATTTGAATAAATTCTCTGGTTATGAAAAATTGTTTAAGAATATTTATGTTGATAACGTCTTTATCGATTGTAATACTGAAGAAGAAGTGTTTGAAAAATATATTGATTTAAAGAAAGTATTTTCTGAAGGAAAGATGAATTTAAGAGAATTTGTAACAAATGCCAGAAAAGCTTTAGAAAAAATTCCTGCAATTGATAAATTAACGGATTTGAATCAAAAAGTCTTAGGAATTAATTGGGATATAAAAATGGATATTTTAGAAATTAAATTTCCGTGTTCGAATCTTGAAGATAAATTTACAAGAAGAAAAGTTTTGGAAATAATGGCTTCTTTATTTGATCCGCTTGGTCTCGTCTCGCCTTGTCTTGTTAATCCGAAATTACTGTTTCAAAAATTATGGGATAAACCAAAAAATTGGGATGAAGAATTGGAAATCTCTCATTCAAATGAGTGGATCAATATACTAAGGTCTTGGATAAATAAAAAAATGACAGTTCCAAGATTAGTTATAATTAAAAATTGTAAATACCAATTACATGTGTTTGTTGATGCTAATAAAGACACTTATGCCGCTGTTATTTATTTAAGAAGCAAAGAGAATGATAAAGTTCAAGTTTCATTGATTTATTCTCGAAATAGAATAAGATCGAAGAAACAAAATTTGACTATTCCTAGGATGGAATTGCTGGCATTGTTAATAGGAACTCGTGCATTAAAGTTTGTAGAAAAAGAACTTCAAATTAAAATTGAGAAAAAAATTATTTGGAGTGATGCAAAGGTCGTTTTACTTTGGTTAAATACTAAAGAAAAACAACCAAGATTTGTAGAGAATAGATTAACCGAGATACGTAAAAATACAGATATTATATTTAAACATGTATCTACAAATGAAAATCCTTCAGACATTTGCATTCGAGGTTCTACACCAGAAGAGCTTCGTTTAAATGACCTTTGGTGGAATGGACCGATATGGTTAAACAAAGTTGAAGAAAATTGGCCAAATGATTTAGAAGTAAAAGTTGAAATTAAAAGTTTAGACATTTGTGAAACACCTATTACAATGTCTATAAAAAATACTGGAATAAATTTAATAAAATTTGAAAGATTCAGTAATTGGACTAAAATAGTTAAAGTTATGATTATTGTGTTGAAATTTTTAAGAAAAAGATTTAAATTAATTTTGAAAAGTGATAAATGGAAAAATAAATTATTGTTTCTATCAAAAGATAAATTTGAACAAACCGCAGAAAATCTTTTAATAAAAATAGTACAAAAAGAAAAAATAGATGAATTTAATAATTGGGAAATCTTTGAGGATGAAATTGGAATTAAAAGATTAAAATCAAGGATTAAAAATAGTGATGCAAATTTTGAGTTAGAAAACCCAGTAATTATTCCGAAAAACTCTGAAATTTTGCCATTGTTAATAAATAACATTCATGAAAAATGCAAACATGTTGGTGTTCAAAGTACACTTGTTGAATTTTTAAGTCGATTCTGGACCCCGCAATCGAGAAGAAAGGTAAAAGAAACACTCAAACAATGTTTAAAATGTATAAAAATGAAATCAAGTCCATTTATGCTACCGAAATTTCCAAATTTGCCTAATGATAGGATTCAAAGTACTTCGCCTTTTAAAAGCATTGGAATAGACCATTTAGGTCCTTCTTTTTATAGAGAAATTGATAATACAGAGAAAAAATTCTGGATTACTTTAATCACTTGTCTTTGTACACGAGCTGTTTATTTGGAGCCAGTTAAAAATTTAAAAGCCGATACTTGTTTAAATGTTTTGAAAAGATTAGCCGCTCGAAGAGGATGTCCAGAAAGAATTTTGTCTGATAATTCTAAAACGTTTATAGCTTGTGCAAAAAATTGTAAAGTGCATTTAAAAATAATAGGAAAAGAATTAGAATGGAAATTTATTAAAGAATTAAGCCCATGGCAAGGAGGAGTATATGAAAGAATTGTGGCGTTAGTCAAAGATGCTTTTCGTAAAACTTTAGGAAAAAGAACCTTACAATGGGAAGAAATGTTAACGTTCACTACAGAAGTTGAAGGAATCATAAATATGAGACCTTTAACAACTATAGATGAAAATCCTGACGTACCGGGATTAATTCCCTTGCGACCTGTAGATTTTTTATGTCCACAACGGAATCTATGTTTAGAATTAGAAATTCCTAAAACAGATGACTCAATAATGAATTTTGTAATCAAATATAAAGATTCATTTGTATTTACAGAATTTCTCTTAAATGAATTATGGAAACGTTGGAAAAAAGAATACTTAATCTGGTTGAGAGATAGAAGTCAATGGGCAATGAAAGGTCCTCGTTCTCAGACAAAAAGAGAACCTAATGTTGGTGAAATAGTGATTTTGGAGGAAGAATTTGTCCCAAGAAATTTATGGAAAATTGCAAAAATTGTAGAATTATTAGACACAAAAGATGGACGTTGTGTGAGAAATGTTAAAATTTTGTTGCTAAATGGAACAATTGTCTCACGACCAATTAATAAACTATATCCTTTGGAATTAAATATTGAAAATAAAGAAACTGAAAGTATTAAAATTAAAGAAATTGAAGAAAATTTAAATGAAAAAATTGAAGAAAAATCAAAGGAAATTAAAACAGTGAATCAGATAAATATTATTAGTAAAGAATTAACAAAAAATTTAATAAACATTTCAACTATATTATTTACTTTTTGTTTAATACTATTTATGTTTTGTATAGTTACAGCAAAAACACAGTGTAATGATTGTTTGGTTGAATGTAATGATAAAGGAATTTTAATTAGTTCACCGGAAAAAATAGATAAATATGAAATTTGTTGTAGTGATGGACCATGTACAACTCATTCTAGAGTTGATCAATTTCAATTTGAAATAAATAAGGAAACACTCGTTACACATCATCATTGTGAAGTGAATTTTTGGTCTAAAACTAAAAATATATTAAAATATGAAGTGAAATGTGAGCCGAGTGATCCGTGTAAACTTATTCCATGTTATTTTTGTTTGGAAAGAATGATCAATCACACTTGTTCACCGTTCATATCGCTTTTTTTGATAGCTTGTTCCACAATTGCATTTGTCTTTTTTGCTTGTTTAATTTGCTGTATTCTCAAAAACACGTTTAAATTGATAAGCTGTTGTTTTCCGAGAAAAATTAAACACAAAAATTTGTCAAGAAATAAAAAACGTTGGACACTTAGAAAAAGATTATTGGTCTTAATATTATTTTTTATTAATGAATCTAATGGAGAAATAATTTCAAGGACTGCTCGAACTGAAACTTGTTTTCGTAAAAATGGAAAAATTGATTGTTCATGGAACTTTGTTGAAACTCTAACTATGACAGATAATAAAGAAAGACAGACAATAGTACTTAAAGATAATAAAAATAAAATTCTCGGACAGATAAATTTAACCCCAGAAGGATTTAAAATGAAATGTGAACCAATTATTGAAAAATATTTACGATCATATGAAGTTAAAATTCAAACAGTTAAATCTTGTCCCGAAACTGGAAGTTGTCACCATGATAATTGCCTTATTGTTAATAATAACTGGGAACAAGACATTAAAGAATTGGAACCTTGGAAAAATTACACCGGTTATAATCGTTGTTCCGCTTCATGTAGTTTTCTCTGGTGTAAATGTGGAATGAGTACCGGTTCTAGTTGTCTGTTTTATAGAATTTACGTGGAACCGACAGACCCAGACATTTATGAAGTTTTTACTTGTAAATGGATTCCTATATTCACGTTTAGTGGTGAAACAATTTTTCTGAGTGAAGAAACAAAAGAAAATCAAGAATCTTTATTCGAAGTTCAACCCGGAATGATAGTTCATGATAAAAATTTTACTATCTCTGTTACTCAATTTTCGTTACCTCCAGAACCAGAAATGAACGGAAAATTTATTGGAAATAAAAAATTTGTATCTTTAATAGATGATATCTATTCGAATGTACATTGTAAAAATTATTTGGCTACTGAGAAATTCGAATGTGATATAAAGGAAGAAATATGTCAAGAATGTCTCCCCGATCATGACAATGAAAAAGTAGATTGTAAATGTAAAAATTTAGAATTAGATAGTTTAATATTAGATACTCAAAGAATATTGCCGATAAAAACACAGACATTAGATTTGAATTATGATGGTCTAAATGTGTATTCCGAAATTTACGGAATGCCTTTTGATGTAGTAATAAAAGTAAACAATTTAAGACTTGTAACTGTCGATGATTGGAATAAATGTGAAGTAAAAATTTTAGAATTTGGAGGTTGTTATAATTGTCGCACCGGAGCTGATTTGAATTTCACATGTAAAACTAGTAATGGAATGGCTTTAGCTGAAATTTTTTGTGATAAAGACATTGCGTTTACTACTAAATGTTCAGAAGTAGGTGAAAATGTAATACAAAGATTAAACTTTGATCACGCTCATATCAAATTAGACTGCAAAGTTGAGTGTTTAGGTGGAACTACTGATTTGAAAATAAACGGAAAATTATTTTTAATTGATATTTTGGAATTTGAAAATAATAGACATGTAATTAATTCAGATGTTAAAGTAAATGACAACATAAATAATCAATCCATTTGGAATTATGTTGAAAAAATGTTAAAAAATTTAATTAAATCGGACTTAATAGAATTTGTGTTACAGATAAAAAATTTTTTAATACTTATTGGAATTTTGCTGTTCTTTTACTTAGTATTTTGTATTATAATTAAGTTAAAATTTGTTTTTCGAGTATACAGATATTTATTAAAATTCGTTATTGTATTCATGTTTTTTGAAGGGGGAGGTTGTTCTAACACAAGTTATTGTAACACAAGTCTAATACAGAAAAATTCAGAAATTAGTCAAATTTTTTACATAAAAATTTCAAGAAAAATTACATTAAAGGAAAAAAGTTCAGAAATTACATTGTTAAAAAGTTTAAATCTTTTATCTCCATTAATATTTACCTACATACAATACATAGAGTTTAATAAAGAAAAAGTACAAATTGATAAATATTTAAAATATAAAAATTCTATGTTAATCTATGAATCATTTCAAATAAACATCTCAGCAAAAAAGATGGTTTGTAAAAAATTTTTGTGGTTAGTGAGAAAGAAAATTGAAGAATTTTGGATAAATAAAAAAAGAATTGATTCATTATTAAACAATTTTTCCTCACAATTGTTTAAAAGAAAAATTTTGAATTATTCTCGTTCATTTTATTTTTACATTCATTTTACAATGTTTTTATTTTACCTTTATATTAAAATAGGTTTATTTAGTAAACCTACGTATTTGTTTATTGTTATGTTCAAAATATTTTTTAAATTTTTTAGTTCAAAAATTATGCCACCTAAATCTACACCAGCTCCTCAAAAAGTTATAAAGGGTGGAAAAGGAATTAAATTATCTGACAATGCTTTTAGTGAAGAAAGTGAGCATTCAGATTTCTCTGATTCTGAAGTAACTATTGAATATGAATCCGACAATTCTGAACATCTTCATGCTACGATTAATGATAACAAATCTCCTTCAAAAGAAAAAGAAATAGCTCAAAAGGAAAAATCTACTAGTAAGTCCATTGAAAAAGAAATAATTAAAAGAAGCTGTACTAATTGTAAAAATAAAGGATTCCCATCTGAAACCTACAATAGTCACATTTCCTCGAATAAAAATTGTCCTTGTAAAAGCTTACAAAGTCCTGAAATAGTTTCAAGCAGACCCGACTTAAACGATAATTCTAATAAGGAAAAGACTGTTGAAGAAATTGATCAAAAAATAGAAAAATTTTTTATAGAAAGTGAACAATTTCAAATTTCAGATAAAGAAAAAGAATTACGAAAAATACAAGAGAAGGAAAAGGAGGTTGGAATAAAAGTAGTAAATTCTATATTAAACAAGCGTACGGAAGATGACGTTAAAGAAAAGATGATCTTACCAAAAATTCCCAAAAGAAAGTTGCCAATATCTGAAGAAATATTTTACAATTCTCCTGTTCAAATTATTGTTCCCAAAAAAGTTCAAGAAAAAGCTTATACAGTATTGAAATCAAAACGAGAAAAATTAGTTAGTGAATGTAAAACTCAATCGTCCAATTCTGATAGTCGTGGTTCTCATTCACGTGAAGCCGGTTACCTTCTACGTATTAGAGCTTTGACGTCTGATTGTTTGAGTTTAATTCCACGTGATGGATGTAGAACTGTGGAAAAGAGAGCTGAATTTTGGACTGAACTAGAATTAATTAATGAAGCTATCCAACAAACAATTCGTCATGCTAATGAGTGGGATATTCAACATGCGAGTCAATTTCAATCATGCTCGAATATATAAGAAGAAATTTAAAAAGAAAGAAAATTTTTTTATATATTTATAAAAAATATTTTTGCTTTTTTGTCTGTTTTCTTGTCCCCCCGAATGTCGCGAAAGGCGACTTATCTTTTTACCATTTTGTCCCCTGTCTTTTTATTAAAAATATTTATTTTTAATTTTCCCCTTTTAATCATGCTTATTCATAGAAAAACGCCTACTTTCTCAAATTCTTTAAAATTCACTTTGTACTTTTGTGAAAATTCTATTTTTCTTTAAAATCCGCCCCTTTTTCTGACTATAAATAATTTTGGGCTTTCTCAAATATCCAGAGCTCTTCTAGAATTTAATTGTGTTTAAATAAAGTTCCTTCTTCTGATTTTTAAAGTTTTTAATTTTAAATAAAAGTTTTTTATTTGTTTAAAATTAATTTTATTGTTGGGAAAGAATTTCTCAACACCCGCTTCAAGTAAAATTATGGTAATTTTTGTAAGTGAGCAGGTGAGTGCCTGCCCCAATATACACGTTTTATTTTTTGGACTGGCTTTGATTCAGGGGAGAACGGGATTCTTAACTATCGTTGGTTGGCATCCAAGACGTTATTTGTCTTTCAGCTCCTCTCTACCTTTCTTTTATTTGGGGACCCAACTTTTTTCTGTGGAATAGGAGATAACATCCTCATACTTCGCTATGCATATCTTGCGCCATGATTCCTTTTCCGAATGTCCAAGTTCAATGTCATATTTGAACTGGACGCTAATTTCATAATTTTGCCTTAAACTTTAAAAATTCATAAAAAATTTTTAAATAAAGAAAAAATTTCAAATCTTTCAGAAAATGAAGAAGGCATTATTGTGAATATATGACAAAAAAATTAAACAGATTAGAGATCTGAACATTGAGATATACATTTTCAAACTTTAATGATTTAAGGGGGGCTAATTATTTATGACACAACCTAAGTAATTATAATTCGGTGTAATTTCATTCAAATTCTGTTTTTTGGAATCAAACCGGGAATCCATCGAGCATCCGAAATGCCGAATTTTGAGCCGAAAAAAACTACAGGAAATATCGAAAAATATAGGCTAAACTGATTTTTTAAGTGGAATACTCGAATTTAAGTAAATACCAGTTTTTCCATTTTAGGCAAAATTTTTTGTATAATTTCATTATTTGAAATTTCAATCAAAATTCTTCTTTTTAGCTGACAAATATAATTTTTACCTTTTAATAATTTAACAGTAAAATCATTTTTTACAGGATTTACTTCAAGTTTACTAAACGATTCAGTTTTCTTATAGAGATAATCAGCTATTCGGTTACGTGTTTTTACATTAATTAGCAAAACAAAACGTTTAATTAATTCAATATTTTTTAAATAAATAAATTCTCTCTTTTCTTCCCAATTATCGAAGATTTTCAGATTAACTATTCTTCCACCATTACAATTTAAAATTAAATTAATATTTAAATATAATATAAAAACAATAATAAATTTAATCATCTAAAATTAATTAAAATTTGAGAATAAAATAAATTTTTTTAATTTTTCTCGGTTTTTAAACACATTTAAAGATTTAGAAAATAAATTTTTTTTAATTTACATTATAAATTAATGCTAAATGATAAAAAAGTGCAATTTAGGTACAAAATAGTATAAATAAATACAGTTGTATCACGATTGCAGGCTCAGGTTATCACATCTCTCCCTCTCTCCTCTCTCGACTTTCGTCGGTTATTCGAGTGAATAATAATTCAGACTGGGCAAAACATCTAAACAAGTGAGGTGTTTTGAAGTTGTCCCAGCCTTTGGTAAATAGGAGTGAATAATAAATAATTTAAATAAATCTAGGAATCACCATAATTAAATGTGGAGCAGAGTTGCGTCGTAATTGAAAATTTTTTTCGTAATCGTAATTCGTAATTTTCAAAAAAAATGCCGTAATTCGTAATCGTAATTTTTCAAAAATATTTAAATTAATTTTAAAAATCAAATATTTATTAATAATTGCTGCTTTTCCCATTAATCTCTCCAAGTCCTCTTATTTCTCTGATATTATTCAAATCCCAATTAATTCTCTGATATCCCTCTTAATCCTAATAATCCTCCGATATTTCTTTAATCAATCATGAGGAATCATCGTCCCAGATTATGTTTGATATCATGTCAAATCAATCTCACTTAATCCCGAGCCAACACTCTTATATTTTTAGGCGAAAAATTTTTAGAAAATTCATGACTAGATTAAAAAATTTTTAAGTTTTTTTTTCAATTTTAAGATATTAAAAATGTAAATTTACAAACCTGAAATCAAAATCAAAGTTTAAAAACATTTATTTTTGAGAAAATGAATTGTCTAAATATTATTTCCCACACATGGATTCGAACCAAACCTAACAAAATATCAAATAAGTGAAGCCTGACTTTTAACCCACTCAACCACCGATAAACAAAAGTAACCGCGAGAGAAAATATAAATATTTCAAATATTTCTTTCCCTTTTCATTCTAAAATTTAATGGCAAAATTATTTTCGTAATTTTTCCCTATATTTTCGTAATCGTAATTCGTAACTGAAAAAACGCCGTAATTCGTAATTACGACGCAACCCTGATGTGGAGACGTCCTTTTGAGAATAAAGAATAGATGTGAATGTGCGTGGGGTTATGTATCACCTGGCTGATCCAAAACAGAATGATAGAGAATGTATTTAAATTATTTTACAAGGACCCTAAAGGCTTGTAAAGCTCGCAAAATCTGCACATCATTAATATGTTTTCAGAATTTATAAGCACTAAATCTTTGATTATTTATTTTCTATTATTTTTACCATTGTTTTACGTCACAAATTAAAGCATATATGTACTTTTGGAATTTTTTATAAGCTTCCAAATTTAGAACATAATTTTTTCCACATTCAATTATTAATTCTAACATAATACAAATATAATAAATGTAAACATTGTCTGAATTATTAAAATAGGACCAATTCCCTCCCTTTCAATTTAAAAAATGCCAGGGCAGAAATTGTTTGTATATAATATTTTCTTTTTTACTTAAATCCCTCGTTATTCTTTTTTAGAATAGGTTCCATTAATTTTGCTCTTTCCAAAAATATTTACTGAATAATTAAACTATTAAATTACCTTTAAATATTTGATAAAAGTAAGAGAAATAATACAATAACAGAAAATTCATCAATTTTTTAAAATGGAAAATTACCACAATAAAAATGAGTATCGGATCGAGGGAATCCGAGATATAGCTGCTAGCTTAAAGTCATCTCAATCGTAGATAACCGGTAGGAGATATTAAAGGTTTACTTAACTACAGTAGTCTTTTCCTCCTTTTATGCGATTATCTTTATTGTATGTACATTTTAGAATTGAACTTTCTATTTGTCTATCCTTTAACACTCACAGTAATTAGTGTTAAAGGAGCTATCGGGATTTTGGTTTTGGAAAAAAAAGAAAACCTATTTATTGGATTCCGAACTTTTCCTTTAAAAATATCTTGAAATTTTTAATTAAAAAATATCACAACTAATTGCCTATTTTTATATAAAATGTTAACTTCATCATCTTCCTCACCATATATCAGTGATCCATCAGATCCAAATTCGGGGCCAAGTGGTTACGACGATAATCAATTAATTGCTTTGATTAGATTTCACAGCATTGATATTATTGTAATTTTGATTAATTTAAATTTTTAATTATTCCTTTTTAAAAAAAGATTGGCGGTATTTCTTCGTTTTTATGTGCTCTTACTCTTCTTATTTTTATTTCTTCAAAACAATTCTTTTTACATAATAAGGTTTGTTATGAAATTTGACTAGGAAGGAGTAGTTCAGGAAAAAAAAAGATTGGCTGTACTTTTTTTATAAAAAATTTTCTTGATTAATTTTGGGAAATTAGATTATTTTTATGAAATATTTTTTCATAATCAAAACGAAAATAAATGTTTAGTGATTTTAGTGACGGGCAAAAGTTCGGTAATCGGTCTATGATGAACGAACCGAAAGGACTAAACTCTTAATTCAGTTCAGTCTTAACCTTATCTCAGGAAAGTCAAACATAAGTTATACGACACCAACCTTTACGATACTCTCATATTAACACATTTTTCGATGCTATCTGACACTATTATATGTATAATTTATAGTTACTAGCCCTTTTGGCATTAGCTGACCTTTTCACAAGTATTGGAGTGTTGGATTTAGGTTTAATGCGTAAAGGATTGTTTACAACAGTCATGGAGACTAGTAGAGTGCCTATTGAGGTAATTGTAGAAAAGTTTAAAAATTTATCAAAACTTTCTACAAAAATTTGAAGACCTCTTGGACATGTGCAGGCAAACCGTTTGTCTATCTCCGTCTTCTAGGGGCTCTGATACCACCTGGAATTGTTTTTTGGATTAGTATTGAACGCTTTGTTGCTGTTTATGCGTCTGATTTTTATAGAAAACATATTATAAAACAGTTGAGATTTTTTAAAGTTAAATTTTGGAAAGGATAATAAAGGTTAATTAGAACTGTTTTGAAGCAAAAATCGAAAATATTTTTCAAAATTTCGGAATTTAATTCAAAAATGTAAATTTCGAGACAGTTATAAATAAAAACATTTAACTATGAAAATAAAGAAAAATAGTTAATCAAAACATTCTGGCAGATTTAGATACATTTAAGAAACTCCCCTTAACCAATATTTCATTCCAAAATACAAAATTTTAAATTAAAGTCAGAACATTCCTTCATTGGCCATTCTGATTTATACAATTATTGCCGTAACAACTGCATATACAATAGCCTGGCTAAACCGGAATAAAGGGGCTGTGGAGGCCTATTGTGGCAGAAAAGTAATAATTTTTCTAATTATTTAAATTTAAATAATTCAACAAATAAAAGTTTAAAAATATTTTCTCTTTAAAAACTTCATTCTAAGGTTGCGTTTACTAAAAGCTATACAACTTATGTTTATTTGGCCGATGTTTTAGGCTTTGTAATTGCGTAAGTTTATTTATTTTGGTAAAGCAAAGTATTGCTTCGGGGTCTCTGTTTCTTTCCCTTAATTCCGTTATTTTTATCAAGTGTAATACAGAAGGATTCAATTTACTATTTTTGGACTGCCTGTTATTTAAAATTGTTTGAACATTGTTCTGAAAAATCCTTTTTTAAAAATTAGACTCCAAATTTTTCAAAAACTATTCTAGACTTTTGGTTAACTGCATAACCCTTTGTCGTCTTGGCCATCTTTACTCTCAACGTGAAAATCGTTTTGAAGTTAAAAAACAAGTTAGACGTATTCACTATTTATTGTTGATATCGATAATGTCAACACTTACTGTAGCAATACCTAATGGTATTTCGTTAGTTTCTGCTTGGTTTGGCAGAGTAAGTTTAAATAAATTTGTTAAAAGTGGCGAGAACTTGGTCCAAATATTTTTCTTCCTACACAAATTCGTTGGGCGACCAGTTCTATTTCGATAGTGTTTCGTAATTAGAATTTTCTTGTCGAGCCCTAGTTTAAGACCGGAGCCCCTATTCTAAGGTTATAGAAGACCGGCTTTTGTAATTGCCTAAAAATTAACAGCTTTGGGGAAAACTTGTAATAAATACAATTAATTATAGCTAAATATAGCTTTATCTGACCCTGCCAATTGGATGATTGCTGCTAAATGTTCAGTAAACTTATTTATCTACCTTGTCCTCAAAGCCGTAAGGAAACATAAAATTTGAAAGAAAAATCTTTTAAAAAAAGGATTTCCGTCAAAGAGTCTACGAAATTTTGGGCTGTTTAAGTGTTGATGATTGGCAAGATAAAGGACGAGTGCTTGGGGATACTGCAAGAAGTGGAGGTGGAGGAAGAAATAATGGAGTGAATAATGCTGGATTTGTTAGTTATTTTTGTTTGAACTGTTGTCTGGGAAATTTAAAAGTCGGGTTTGAATGTCGGAATAACAAACCTTTCTGGTTAAAGATTGGTAATTCTTTGAAAAATCCGCAAAAATATCTCAAGTTATGAGATGGGTCGGATTGAGAAAAAAATGAGTTGGGATTCATAATTTTCATTTAATCTGGTTTCGGGTAACCCAATCCTTCCTTACTAAATTCCGAAATAAAATGTATATATAATATTATAAATGGTTACACAATTGCCACAACTGCTAGTGCCTTTTCAGATATTAAGGTATTACCACTCCATCTAAAATCTAAATAATTCTACTAATAGATTTTCTCAAAATTTTATTTTTAGACCGACGAGGACCAATTACCTAAACAAAACAATAATAATATGCCTTTGAATAATTTGGGTAAATCAATTACTAATGCCGACAATTTAGTTTCGGATTCACTAATAAATCCAAAAGAAAAACAAAAAAGTGAACATGTAAGAAAGGCATGGACAACAAATTCTAAATTTCATTTTGATTCTCTTGATCATATTTGAAAAATAAGACAAATTTTTTGGAATTTTGATCACCAGCGGAATTATGGTCACAAGGTCAAAAAACGGAATATTGAACATTGGAATTTTAGTGAACAACCGTAAAAAGGAATCTTATCTAGAACTGATATCAAATTGCTAAAAATTGTTTTTCACTCTCCCAGTTGATCAATTCACCGGCTGATCTCACTTCCTCTCACTGTTAATCTTTTTTTCTCTGAATTGCAAAATTTGTTCGTTTATAAGTTTGGTGATTAAAATTCCTATTGATGATCAAAATCCAGTGCCCAATATTTCGTTTTTTAGGACCCGGGCCGGGAAAACCGGGAATTCCCATTCCCGATTTCATCCCGGTTGACTCAAAAAACCGGGAAAAGGGATCTGAAAACCGGGTCCCGGACCCGTTCCGATCTCTAAAAATTTTTATAATTTGTGTGAAATTTTAACTTTGGAAATAAACATTACATATGTATTTAATTGTAATATTTTTATTAATCAAAATCATTTAGAATTTACAATTAATATCAATATGTAGTAAATTTACAATTTATATTCAGAAAAATATTTAAGTACTAGTGTTTCACCGGAACCGAAATTTTGACCGGAACCGGAACTTCCGGTGAAACTCTAGTAAGTACATATATCAAAAAATTTTCTTTACTCTTTAACAACTAGCTTGTATTACATTTTACTGAAAAATCAACAATTCAAACAACAATTTAAAATATAAATAATTAACCGATCTATGACCAAAAAGCGAAGGAATGAATCGAAAGATTTGAAAAATGTTGAAAAGCTAAGAAAAAGAAATGTTTAAAAATTAAATTTCTTCTAATTAAATTACCATAATAACAGCAAAAATATATTCCTTTGGTTCAATTACATAATTATGTTCTCCCATAATAAACTATGTAAATAATTTGATTTTAAAACCGAACAAAATTTAATCTCACTTTAATATCAATAGCCAAATATAACATAAAGACGAAGGTGCCAATACCGGCATAAATCTGAAAAATATATTTAAAAATGGGATGGAAGATTAAAAACTACATAGATAAAGAGTTCGGGTATGGAAAATCATTGTCCAAATGACAGCAAAAAATCCAAAAAGTATCAAAACCATTCCAATTATAACCGCAAAACCAAGAATACTTAAGTGAAATTTTAAAATAAAGATGAAATGAAATTTGAATGAGAGATAGAAGAAATGGTGAAAAATTGAACCTGGTGATATCACGTTTGGTGATCAGCGAGAAAATGACTATTCCACCACAGCAGAGTGTTGTAACAATGAAAGCTAGGACAACAGAATCGAGGGAATAGTAAGAGGTCATGGCCATAGCCTAATAAAGTTGTTATCAAATGATAATAATGTGAAAGTAATACAAGAAATCCAATTGAATGAGTTAAAATTCCGGTACTAATCAGGTTTGTCGGATGAGTTCGACGTGCACTTTCACAGCAAATTATAGCAAAATAAACAACCAGAAAAACTAATAATGACAAGAAATAAAGCCCCGAACTTTTCTTCAGATAATCTCTAAGTGGATATTTCTCGCCATCACGGTAAAATAAAGAAATTGCTGACATAACCGTGACAACACTTATCTTGAAAGGATATAATTGATATAATAAATAAATAAATTTCACACCATGATAGTCATCAAAGTAAAAACCTTCTGAACAAAAGCTTGTCTTATCGTCTTATCTTTAAATCCAATTTCAGTTTTCGGCATTCCAATTTCAACTGGATGAGTGTTCTCATCAGCTCAACCCCGTAAGGATTAGTTGCCTGTACGAGATAGGGCATTTTTAGGATTTTTAAAGGATTCTAAACTGAACAAGAAAACAATAAAAGCTAAAGGAAATGTAATATTAATGAAATATTACTGTCTTTTTTAATTCAATAAAATATAAAAGTTTATATCTCGTAACGTTAGAAACGATAACAAATTCTCTTTTTTATTTAAAAATCTTAAAAAAAAATATTTAGTAAACAACTCCATGTGGTTAAACATAAGAATTAAATTTGGTGAGTAAAAGCCTAGACAACAGGGATATCTGTATTTTTCTTGTTATTTTTAAATTGTTTTATCGAATAAAATTGTTCATAAAAACGTCTACAAAATTAACACAACTGTTTGAGTAGCTTCAAATGATCTGTTTTATGTAGGGTTGTCGGTTCTGGACCGAACCGAAACGAAGAACCGATGATTTTTCGGTTCGGTTTCGGATATCCGAAGATTTTCCAAGAACCGACAACCCTTTTTTATGTAAAATTTATATAAAAATTATTTAAATTATCAATTTCCTTTAACCTTTATTGTTAGACCTTTATTGCTTTAACCTCTATTTGTTATTATTATAATTAAGCAAAAACAATAAAGATATCAGTAATAAATACTACCATGTATTTGTTTATCTATGCATTTCATAACATAATATTCCGGTATTCCAGTTTGTCTGGCTGATTTCTCAGATTCGTAAAGACGAATTTTCTAAGAGAAATCATGATTTTTAAAAAATCTCCTCAAAAGCCGATATTTTACTAAAAATTAAAACGAATATGAGGTTTCAAATTTACGATCAGATAAATACTTCAAGAATCAACTAAGCCAATTACACTACTATACCATCGGTTCCTCTTAACGATGTCTGTAAGAATTTCTAAAAATTTATAGTTTGAGAAAAAAATTAAAACGTTTCAGACATTCAAAAATTTAAAACTTGTGGTGAAATTAGACAAATCATGAAAAGATGATTAATATGTAAAAGAAATAAAAAAAGGAAATATGAATTAATCATTGTAAAAGCTCTATAGAGTTAATTTTTTATATAAAATCATTGACTTTTAAATTTCTAGATACATTTCATTTTTGTGTGTGTTATATTGTAGGCTCATCGTTTTTGGTGATTGTACGATCATTCTTTTCATTTAATAATTTAAATGGCCTTGGCTTCTAAATAATTTTTAATAATTTGAAATAATTTAGGATTGATTAAATTTTTAAATTAATAATTACACAGGAAGTTAAAATTTGAAGATAATAAAAGTTAAAATTGTAATTTCTGCCAGAACGGAGCCCAAAGGCACGGAGACGGGCCTTTTTACCAGGAAAAACCTACTCACCTTATATCTCTTAAAGTAAATGCTGCATGCATTACATTCAATTTCCTTGTTTTTGTTTCGGCGAAATTTTGGGCTAGAGTTTGTTCCACAATTAGCGCATGCTATCTCAGAAATACTTGATATCTCAGAAACCTTTTTTATAACCTTTAAAATTTAATTATTTTTGTTTTAAAAATTAATAGATTAGCAAATCCATTCAATTATTTGCCGTCACTAATATAAATCCATGCCTACTTAAAAAGTTGCAGTTTATGTTAAAAAGTTCTAGTTATTGAGTGTTCAGAATTTTAGGACTCCTTTTACCGTAAATGCTGAAATAAAGTCCCTCTCTCAAATAATTTATGAAACTTTTTGACTAACTTTATTCCTTCTAGGTTTTGTATTTTCTAAGTAAAATTTTTGATCATAACAACTATTGCAAATATATTTTTTGATTAAATATCTACACCAGCTTTTAGTTTTTGTTGCATTACAAATAAAGCAATGACGCTTTTTCCCTTCCATAATTTCACCTTAATTTTTATTATTTTCCACAAATTAATAAAAAGATGTTGCTTCAAAATTAGCAGTAAAAAATGTTCTTTTAATTTCTTATTGGACAAAAATGAGGATTTATCTAATAAAAATGCTGCTTGTTTGGTCCAGGTTCTCTTGGCCTACTAATACTCCCTATAGATACACGTCCTAAATGGTTCTCAAATAAAGCGGCTCAAACCGCTTTATTTTTCAATCCACTCTCAAAGAACCTTTGATCTGATCTAGACAGTTTTTTGCGTTTGTCCACACTCTGTCCCAAAATTATGAGTTCACTTTATTATTTAGCTCCAAAATATTAGGAAAAATCTATAAATATCGCAAATTGTCTCAGAACTTGCAATTAATAAACATAAGATTAATAATAATTAATAATAATTATTAATAATTATTAAAAATAATTCAGAATAAGCTAAATAAACATAGGTATATTAATAAATATTTGGAGTTTGTATTATAATAATTTCGGGATAGAGTGTATATTTTTCTCTTTTTTACTATACTTATAAATTAATTCGTAAATACATATTTATGTATAATTAAAGTAATTTATAAATATAATTTGTTTAATCCTAAATTTGAATTACTTATTTTATTGCCAAAGAAAATAATTGTGTTGTTAAATCCTTCCAACAAATCTTGGTCATTTCCTTTATTTTTGTTTATCAATTCAATTTTATATCCAATCAAATTTATTTCCTCCCAATAACTTGATAATATTTTTTCTTTATAAATATCAATTATTTCTTTTAATTTATTTTTTTCTTTAATTGTTTTTGAAATATTTTTATTTATTTTTTTGTATAATATTGAGGTTTCATAATTATTATTCTTTTTATTTTCAATAAATTTATTATTTATAAAACCTTAATAAATTTATTAATGAAATCTTTTCTACATGAAGAATTACCCATATTTAGTTAATCGTGAAAAGATCTTAATCTATAATCTCAATTATCGAGTATCGCAACCCTACCAAACATTCATTAAAAAAGGATCCTCATTAATTATTAATATATGTAGTATTAATTTTTAAAGTGTCTGTCATCCGCGGGTATCCGTGATGGCCACAGTGAAAATTTCGGTTAACAAAACCATTGATTTCAGCGACGCTAGAAGTGCAAGTCAACAGATTTCTTTCAATTTTCAACGCTGTAGGCAAAAATTTGAGAATTTTGAAAGGGCATGAAGCCAGATTTCTTCATATTTTTGCCCTCAGATACGCAAAACTCAATGCGCTCATCCCTGCTTGCGATCACTTTAAATCCCATTAATCCACTGGTGGGAACAACAATTGCCGAAAATCGGAAGGCTCTGTAATCAAAATCTTGAAAATATAACCCGAGGGCTCGGAAAATTCAACATTTCAGTGCCGGAGACGAAAATTTATCGAATTTTGGAAGGCCAAGTTGCCAAATTTCTTTCTTTTTCAGCGCCGCAGGCGAAAATTTTTTGAATTTTAGAAGACCTTATTCGAAAAAATTCACTTTCTCTGTTATGGACGGATATCCGAAAAAAAATTCTTATTCAGACCCGAAACCCGAGCCAAAGAAAATTTTGAAACCCGAATTTTTGTTCAACCCGTGACACACTGCTATTCTGGCATAGGAACTGAACTCCCAAGATCCGGTATCAGTCCCGAAACGTTTGGATGTACGGAGTTATGTATCTTCCAATTCCATTTTGCCTCGAGAGGGTACACTAAATTAAGGTCCGTATGTAGTCATTCATATATTTTAATGATAGTGGTGACGCAGCGCAAATGTGCTCGGCACAAAAGTCGTGATAACATTATGATTAAGATTAAATCAAACCCGTTCATCCAATTTAGGTATTAATTTTTGAATAAATTGATGATTGGAAACTTGAATAACAATCTTCCTTGTTAATTGAATATTTTTATTAAATTTTGAATTATCAGGTAATATAACATTAAAAGAATTTGTTTTTGGGTTAAATTCGAGAATATCTAAGCCTTCTAAAACATTAAAAATAATTTCATCATCAATGGTTCTTGAATTCCCGAATGTTCTCAATTTCAATACAAAACGTTCTTTTTGTTTAATATTTTTTAAATAAATGAATTGCCGTTTATCTTTCCAATCATTTTTTATTTTAACTTCAACCTCTATAGGATATCTTATTTCTTTTTCACATTTAAATTTTAAAAAATTAATTGAATAAAGGATTAACAAAAGAAATAATTTAATCATCTAAATAATAAAACAATGTAATTATTCCTCACAAATAATAGCTGGGATCATTATTCTAGTATGGAGTATTAATTGAAAGGAATTACCATATTTATTCTAATAGAATGGGCCCCTCCATTTGAATGCCTCCCAATTGAATGACAATTTTTTGGGTATTGAAAAATAGAATGGTGGCCATTCAATTAGAATAAATACGGTATGTATAATCTGAAACATTTATTTTGTGTGCCCACAACCCAAACTCCAACTGTTCATTTTTAAAAATTTAAAACCTTTAGATTTAAAGATTTATAAATTAAAAATAAAGAATAATTTTTAAATGTCTATGAATTAGAGGTCGGCAAAATCGTGTTTGCGGGATCCCGCATGGGATTTTTTTAAAAACTTTTGCGGGACAGGATTTGCAGGATAAATCCCGCAAAAATCCCGCATCCCGCAAAATCCCGCAAGTCACAAAAAGTGCGGGATTGCGGACGCGGGATCCCGCAAAATCCCGCGCGGGATCCTGTCCCGCGCCGACCTCTACTATGAATATTAAATTTAATTTATAAATTAATTTGGCAGGCTATTACAAAATAATATTTGTTTATTATAAAGCGCTATTTTGACTAATGAAATTAAATTTTTTAAATTTATTTTCCTCGACATTTTTTAGAAATATTCAATATTCGTCGAGAGGAAAGTGCAAATAATTTTATTTTTAGCGCCGATCATACATAAATGAAAAATAATTTTGAAAGGGAATATTATTTTTTATGTCGGCAAATCATTAATAAATATTTACCTATATGGTTATACATATTTCCTAACTTTACTTGAATATTTCTAAGTTATATGGTCATCAGTTGCAGAGATGAATCGGAATTCCGACTTCCAATTTGCGACGTTTTTTCCCTTTCGATTTCCGAAAATTTGTAAAAATTTCCGATTTCCGATAATTTTTTAAGCATATTTCCGACTGATGATTTTTTCAAAATACTCGAAGTTTTCGCCTGCGGCGCTGAAAAAGGGAAAAATTTGGCTCAAGTGTTTCCAAAATAGAGTAGCAAGAGATCGAGGCTTTTGAAAAAAAACCAAGGCGTGGGTGGGGAAAATCCGAGATCGAGGGGCAGAGGACCGAGGATAACCGAGGTTAATTATTATAACTTTCGAAAATTTACCTTAATTTAAGAAATTAAGAAACCGGGAAAATTATTCCAACAGAGGAAAAGCTGTTCAAACTCAGGGAGCAACCTTCCCGTTGTTGGAACAACATTTCCCAAATTGGAACAAGATTTTTCAGTTTCGATATATAGAGGTAGTGTTATAAAACTATTTGATATATGGGAGCGATATCGATATATTGGGGTGATCTCCTAAATTGTTATCTCAAGCAAAACACAAAATTAGAAAAATTATTTTAAAAATCAAAAAACGAAAAATATAAACAATTGTAATTGTCAATAAAAAAGAATATCATGCTATAAAAATGCTTAAAAAATTTAAACAATGGATTAGTGACGTATAACTTTTTTGGTTGTTGATGGAGTTAATAATTACTCATATATTCCATGTATTTACACAAAAATACTAAATATGTAAAAACTATAAACTTTACCCATTCTCTATTAAAAATTTTTATTGGGGAGATTAAAAAGTTATGAACTTTGAATGGAATTGTCTTTTAAAAAATCTTTGAGTCCTGGTAATTTATAAATTATTTTTTAATTATTTTATTATTTTTGGAAAGTTTTTATAGGAAGGTAAAAATAGAAAATAATTAACATAGAAATGCCATAAAAGAACAATTTTTAAAGAAAATTTAAGGACTAATTTTGAAAAAATTTTATTTGGAAAATTTCAAAATAAAACATTAGAATAGTAAAGCAGCTGAGCTATAGCTATTTCTTTCATTCAGCCAGTGCAAAAAGTTATTCGGCGGCATTTTCAGTAGAACGGACTGATGTGTTAGCCATTACGTTTACAAAAAAATCTTCAGTCCGTTTCAGTATAGATTACTCGTTCTTCTCTACCACAACATCTTATCCCATCCTATTTTTTAATTTTTTTTGTAACAAATTCTCTCTTCTATCGAATATTATATAAACAAATTTAAAGAGTTTATCCAATTTCCAACTATATTTTTAATACTCTACTCTATACAGGGTCACAACTTTTTACCAAACTACAATTTTTCACAATATTTAGAGGTATTATTACCCTTATTTGAATAATAATAAAAATGATTACGTAAATACTTGTGTGATTCATTCAATTTACAACAATTGGCCACACCTGCCCTTCCCCCTTTTGACAAAAAATTTGAAAATACTTTTTAATCCTTTTTCCAATAAAAAGTTTTTAATATAAAAATGCTTAGAATAACAAACATTTTTCAAAAACAAAAATTAAAAATAAAATAAATAATCAAATAAAAATTCCCCTCCCTCCAAAAAATGTCCAAAATATTTTTCCCCCTTTTTTTATTTGTTTCCTTTTTTGCTTTAACAATTTCCTTTGGATTTGGCGGTCCAAAAGGCAATATCCTTAAATTACTACCTCCTTTTATTGGAAATATTACTCGAGAACAAATTAGAGAATATAATGAAATTGTGGGAAATATAACTGCGACAAAGGCGGAGATTAAAAGTGAATTGCAGAATTGGGCACAGAATAATGGAATTTTGGTTGTTAAAAATTGTTTTGAATTTTTTTATTTTGAAACTAGTGTTGTTGGCGACCGATTATTATTTTTTTTATTAATTATTAATTTCAGTTATCACGGGTTTTCGATTCCGGTTAATTCGACAAAAACACCGGTTAACGGTTCCGGTTCGGTTAACCGTCCGCCAACAACCCTATTTGAAACTTTGAACGTTTAGTTGGGGCCGGGATCGCTGAACGATCTGTATTATTTTGACAAGTATGGTCTGGGTCCCACTCTTATTTATTATTTCCTCTTTTGCCAATCTTTCAAAATTAAAAATATCCCCAATTCTTAAAAATTTGTGTTTCCAATGTTTACAGTAAATCCCAGATTTACCATTAAAACATTCATTTTTAAGCAACCCTACAATAATTTCACTTCACAATTACAACGAGATGCTGAACAATTCCATGACAGAGTTGTCCAAAACCTGACAGGGGGAGCATTGACGTTATTTAACCAAATTTGGGTTAGTTAGAAATAAAATTAAATTTGACTAAATTACAAAAATATTCTTATGTACTAATCTTAAATTATTTCAAAAATCTAATTGTAAAATTTCCTTAACCCCCCCCCCCCTCCCTCCCCAATTTCATAACTTCCAGAGTATTCGTCAAGATGATACCATAACTCGTTTGGCCGAATGCCAACAAATTAAAAACGCCTATAAGCAAGCCTCCCCCGAAGTTCGTCAACAAGTGCCGTTTATTCTTCCTTCAATTTTGGGCCCACCCCCGCGTGGATGTTGCTTTCCCCGTCCTTTCTCTCATTCTAGCAGCAGCGAACAACAACCTACAGACAACACTCTGGATGATCAACAACAGGATAGTGAAGATAATTGAGGATAGAATGATTGTGTAAAGATTTTAAAATACGAGAATGAACTACATATAAGAATACAATTTTTTGATAATTAAAATAGAATATCAATGGGCATATTGTCAAAATTCTTTTTATAAAATGATTAATCATCTTGAAATTTCTCATATTACTTCTTAATATATTAAATCCGGAATGTTTAAATTTCGATTTGTGATACAAAGGTGTAGATTAATAATAGCAATTGTTCAATATATCACATTTATCCATTTACTAATTGATAATCAAGACATAGTTTAGTTTCGTTAGTTAATATGACATGAATAATTTAGGGATAATTTATCTGGAAACATATTTATAAAACTTAATCGAGGGTTAAACAACTAAAGAAGAATAGAGCAAAAGTTTTAGTTTCGGTAGATTGGTGGCAGAGTCCTGCAAATTTAAGCGAGGTTCAGCATGCACTTTAAAATGTCTCAGGTTTGATTCTTTCCCAATCGCTAAACTTTTGCTCTAATCTTAATATAAAATGATTTGGGGTAAAAATAATGAATAAAATATAAAACATTATAGAGTTGACAAATTTGGGTAAAATTTTGAAATAGAAGGAATTTTTTATTTAAATAAATTTAAATTTAATGTGAATTTTCGGGGAGAGATGAATAATTTAGCAACATACCATCATAAATTTTTCATTTGCGATTCACAACTTTTTCTAATTACAAGCTAATAATTTAAGCCATCGCTTTGATTTAATGCTAGATTTAGGTTTATCCTGATCGATTAGATCTTTCATAGTACCTTCGGTTTTTTCAGGTTGCTTGTGTTGCTTCCTTTCTTTTTTCTTGTTGGATTTTACGGTTTTAGGTTTACATGACCACCCTTTGTCATCAACTATGTCCGGTTGAGCACCACGAAGTCGAGCTTGAGAATGTTGATGAGGAATATTCTTGTCAGATATATGACTTGAATTAGCAACTTTTTGTTCTCCCGCTTCATTTTTCTTTGTAATAGGTGTTCCTTGATTTACTTTTTTACTTTTGTCGGAGGTTTCCCAATCTCCTTCTGCTAAATTTTTTTGAATTTCTAATGAAAAGTCAGTATTAATAAGGGACAAAATGTTATATAATTAAGTTTCTACCTTCTTTTGTATGCACATTCTCCTCCTCAATTTCCTCAGTATTCGATGTGCTCCCTTTTTCATAAGCATAAAACTTTAAAATTATTTGATAATTTTTAAAATTTAACTAAGAAAAGTTAAATTACCGGTTTTTTCAAATTTTTTGGAAAATTTGATTTTCTATGATCAATTTCAATTAGCTAAATTAAATGGTCAATTAAAAGTGATTTAAAATTGTTACTTTTGAAAAAATTTTTATTTAGGCGAGGAAAATCATATTTAGAGACAAGAGCCTTCTATGATATACTTAAAAATAAACACTCTTTCAATTTTGGAAGTACGGGGTCGATTTGTAAGTACTGTACTTCCAAATAAGTACGGATACGAATCTTTGGTATTGTTCAAAAAAACTGTTTCCTATTACGGATTACGGTATTGCCATCAATTTTGTTATAACTTAAATTTTTACACTATTTTATTAAGCCAAGGAAATACTACTTATATTTAGGGAAAAATAAAAAACCAAAAAACATAACCCTTGTAGTAGCTTTGTTTTATTTATTAAAAAATAATTTTGAATTAACTCTATGGGTAAAATTTATTCAACAAAAATACTTACATCGCTTTCGGATTCACTACTCAGCAATTCGTTCTGGTTAGATGGCTAAATTTAACAATTAAACCATTTTGAAAAACTATATAAATCCACTAATGTGGGAAAACCTACCCTATCATCCTGATTTGTCTGTGTAATTGAAGCATTTATAGAATCAAGTTCAAATGTCTTAAAATAATGTTTAGATTTAACAAATTAATTTATTCAGGCCGAAGCTAAGCTCATTATAACAACAGACATTACTAGAATAAGTGTCATAATTGTTTAACAATTAAAATAAATAAATTTTTTCACAAAAATAAGGGAGAAATTTCTTCCATTCCTTCATAATATTTCCGACAAAAAAAGATGACCGGTTCTCTCTCCCTCATGGGGTCACTTTGTATAGGACTACAGAGTCATTCGATTTCACTCGCAAAGTTGAGTTCAAATATGCAAGAATTTTCGGAACAAAAACTCTCAAGGATATAGGCACCTGAAAATCAAAAAGCCATATGAGGGAGTAAGCGCGGCGACCGTATCAAAGCGGCGCTCGACATGCCCGAATTCATACGCAGCGGCCTTGTGTTAGGGGTTAAAACAAATCGTCATAACTTTGTCAAATTAAGTCAGGTTTCTATGATTTTGGAGTCACCCGACTCAGCACGTCCCTCATATGGTTTTTCAGCTTTCAGGAGCCTATATCTCTGCGAATTTTCGTCTCCGACAAAAAATTCCTACATATTTGAACTCTGATCGGCGAGAGGAATTGGATGATTATAATAAAGTTTTCCAATTATTGATCTTATACTAGAGTACAGCCTACCTCGTATTTTAAATATAGAGTTAAATAGTTAAAAGAAAGCCATGACCGTAGGTTTCGACAACGAGAGGAAAATTTGTTAAAATAAATCTTACCTCGCTGTCGGATTCATTACTCGTCGAATGTCCATCCTTTTTCCATTTATTTACATCATCAATAGGATTGCTGGATTCTATCATATCTGGCTTCGGAAATTCAAACCAATGACTAAAAATATCAGTCGATTTCTAAAATAATATGTATGTATGTACATATATCAGCCTTGAAAATTTAGTTACAAAGATTCTTTAAAGATTTGCATATTCGAATTTTTCACCCCCAAAAATCAGCTTACTCCCCCTTATGGTTTTTCGAACTTTAGGGTGCTGTATCTCTTCTCACAGTTGGGTCCGCCGTCTAATTTTGGTGTCATTCGACTCAGCTCGACAAGCTCTTTCGAATGACATACATATTAATCGAGCTAATCAGCGTCTGTGCCGTATACCGAAATTTTGCCTTATATTTTTATACCCTTATTTTGACGGTTAATAAAATTCAATAGATTTGTAACTACATAATTTATGAAAATTTTATTGAAGAAATATCCATACACCAAGCTAAACATTTTGCTTAATTTTGTTTTAATTTCGTTTAAAATTTCCAAAAAAACAAAAATGACTAATAACAAATTTTCTATTTAAATGTTTATCAAATTCCTTACAGCATGATCAGAGACTTCTTCCGTTGTTGGCAGAGGAAATTTAAATGACTAAATTAAATAAACTATTATTTATAAAGCTAAAGCAGATATACTGTATTTCCTCTAATTGCATGACCCTTTAGAGGGTCATTGAAAAATAGAGTGGCAGGCCATTCTAATAGAGGAAATACGGTCCATTAAAAAAATTTCAGATACCCCTTCATCCTGATCAACATTTCTATTAACGTCTTCAACATTACTACCGCTAACATCGGTGATTACAGTTTGTTCATCGTCTGTCACCCAATTTCCAAAACTTGCAGTTGATTCCTAAAATTAAAAAAATTATGAAAAATTCAGTGCACAATTTCTGAAAACTCTAGGACTAAATTTCCGTACATGAATTAATATACTTCTCTAATAAAAATGAAAAATTTTTTCTTGAAATTTGAAATTATCACAATAAATTAATCCTTAACAATCTTAAATATTTAGATTATCTTTGGATTTTGAGTTTGGGCCTGTTTACATTTACATTTTTTATATCAGAGCATTTGTGGAATTGATCTAGGACCATCATTAGTTAACTGCTAGGCGTTTCCCTCGCCAAATGTGCTTTATTGACTGAGGTTCCTGTGCATACATTCAGCTTTTCCTTTATTAGATACTAAACCTCCGCAACTAAGAGCTTAATTTTTTAATTTACAACTTACCAAGCTTTTAGTGCTATTATCATCTACGTTCATAGCGTTGGAATTAGAAATATAATAGAAGAAAATAAATAGTAAAACAATGATAGAAGATAACATCTTCCTAATCACTAGATTATCTTTTTCAAGTTTTTAATAAGTTTAGTTATCTTTTGTATGGACACTAGAGATACTGAATAGAAAATTTTTATTTAGATAGATGAGAAAATCAAAGAGTTCCGTTTATTTGTTGAGGACAAGGGGGGCGTCATAAAATTTTATCTCCAGTTAATTTTTTTCAATAAAGATTTCTTCCCACAAAAAATAACCAACATTAGAATGTTGAACTTAATTACGGAGTTTCCGAATAAAACTAAAATCTCGGATTCTGTATTTTTTCAAAGCCAAATCTGACAACCCTAGAGGGCACCTTTCTACATATTTACTTGAAAATCCTTTTCAATATATAAATATTATTTTTCAAATTTTTATTAAAAATTAATTTTTATATAATTTATTTTAAAATTGTCTATATAATTTTATTTAAAAAAAAATTTAAAGTGGCAAGAAGGATAAAATCCTCTCCCCCCCCCCTCTCTCCCTCCCTTCCCAATAAAGGCATTTAAACATGGAATCGATTGTCTAACTCGACAGCTTCCATTGTTTAATAAAAAATTTAAGAGGAAGGCAGTCATGAGGGGGTAAGGGACCCCATGAGAGGGGAAAGGAAATTTACACATGACTCCGAAAAATTTTAAAAAGTTAAGAATTTCAAGACGTCAATAAAAAATTATGTCTGATATTATTAAAGAATTAATTATTAAAGAATTACCGCAAATAATTTAATTAAAGCCTTGGGCTTCTGTATTTCAATAGGCCTTTTCTGAGTTGCTAATACAGTGCTCCACATAACTATGGTTCTACCACTATTTTCGTGTTTTCTACTTTTAGACCCTAATTTTTTTTAAATTATCGTTTAAATATTGTCCTCAGGTACCTTAAAGACTTGTAAAAAATAAAAATTTAATTTTGGGATTAAAATTACTAGCGTTTTAAATATTTTGTTGGAAAACACCTCCACATAACTATAGTTCCACTTCCCAAAAAATTATTTTCAACATTGGGAAAAATCTACAAAGATTCCAGCAAACTTATATACATACTTATATTATAAAAAAATAAAAAGAAACTAGGCCAATATCTTTATCCTAAGACGAGATCCTGATACCTCGAAAATCAACGTAAAACAGGGGTAAGTCTCTTTAAAAAATATTTCCGACCCCCTATAGATTATTTTGAATTTTCATTTTGGGCTCATTCGAAAGCCCTTGAAATTTGCTACAAGACAGCAACAAGCTTATTTTCCAGAAAAAATTTTAAAAAGAGAAACAGGCATTTAAACTTCGGAAGCTTGAATTTTGCCGTGTTTGGCGTTGTGTTTAGTTTTTAATTAAAAATGACAAAATATCCAAAAAGTAAAATAGTGTGTATTTAGAGAAGTAAAGAAAGAATGTGAATTTTTTAGAATTTGTTTTGTGTTTTTTGGGGGTTTTTTGTTTGTTAGTTGTATAATTTTATTTTGTATGTAATGTTTCGCCTTTACGGATACTTTTATTGACTAAACATTCTTTTGTTTGGTGGGGGTTGTTTAAACAAAATGGTCTGACGTTCGCTACATTTTTCTATCATCTCCGTTTGGAATTTTTGCCAGGACATTACTCTTTAATTTCTATACTCTTTTATATTTTACATACAAAAAATAATAAAATATTTAATATTATACAAACGTTAAATAAATAAAGCAATAATCGATATACTTGCTATCTAATATTTTTATTTTATTTTTAATAAATAAATATTTTTTAAATATTTTAAAATTTAAAACTTAATTTTAAGACAATGTCTGATCCACAAAATTATGGAAAACATCCAAAAGACCCCAACAAGCCTATGAAAGAACGAATGTTGGCTGGGGAACTTTATCGTATTGATAATGTTCTTGAACAAGACATAGATTCAACGGCTAAATGGCTGGCTCGTTTAAATGATTCTTCTTGTTCCAGCCGTTCTGAACGGCAACAAATTATTAAAGAACGACTTGGGGCTATGGGAGAAGGTTGCGATATACGGCCACCTTTTTATTGTGATTATGGTTGGTGATTAATGATTTTTGATAGTTGGACCTCACTAAAAGACACCCCAGTATACCACTGAGCTAAAACTTTGGTCAGAATTGTCGAATTCGGGAGGCCCTGGCATAGTTTGATTCAGCTCGTCAAGCCGCATCAAACCATAGCAGGGCGTCCCAGCTTTGACAATTTTAAACGAAGTTATAGCTCGGCGATATACATGGCTCGCCGACTTTATCCTGAATATTTCTTTAATAAAATATTTTTCTAGGCACAAATATTTTTATGGGAAAAGATGTCATTCTTAACTTTAATTGTTGTATTTTGGATGTAACAACTGTAACAATTGGGGACGGCACTTTGTTTGGACCCAACGTTCAAATCTATCCTGCAGATCACCCAAGGGACAAAGAAACACGTCTGGAAGGTTGGGAGTTTGGTCGGCCTATTAAAATAGGCAAAAATGTGTGGATTGGTGGTGGGGCAATGATACTTCCAGGAGTAACTATTGGAGATGATGCTATAATTGGGTAATTTAAAAATATTGACATCACTATAAGATACACCCTTTGGGACTGAAATAAGGCTTAATTTATTGGTCGCATAACTAAATTTAATTTACCATATTAGCTAAAATAATTACCCAGGGTAATTATTATTTCAACCTCTGGCGGGAGGGGGTAGTTAAAAGGAAGGGGGTAATTATTTATTCGATCTTTCGCTAGAGTGGGTAATTATTTATGAGAGGGACATTATTTAAGCATTTACGGTAATTGGAAACTCAAAAATACAATTTTTAACTAATTCGTCATCAAGACGTAATAAAGAAGAAACATTAATTTTGTTGTGTGGGGATTATCGTTATGGAGAATCAGATTTACAGGGCTCTAACTGGGTCCCAAGTTGCCCGTTAAATTTGAGGGTATTTGAGGTTGTATTTTATAGTGAAGACGCCTGTATTATCTAAAAATTTTATTTAAAGTGCTGGTTCTGTAGTGACTAGAGATGTTCTGCCAAACACAACTGTTGCGGGAAATCCTGCGCGTCCTTTAACAAAAAAGTGATGGTTGTTTGATGATTTTTAGTAAAATTAAAGAGATTTCATTTTTGGGTTAAAAAAACTTGATATACCGTAAATCTAATATGTAGACTTTCCAGTTAATTTTTTAAATTGTTGTCATTTTTCTCTATTTAAATAAAATTAAAGAATTTTTTTCAAAAAGTTAATTCCAAAATACGAATCAGCAATATTTTAAATTAAATTGTATTTTAAAATTCCAACGATTATAAATTTTTTTTTTATTTTACTTCGTCGGTTTTGGTTGGAGATGATGGGGTGTTGGCTATATCTACGATACATAAACGTCCTACGAAAGTATATGCGTCGCAAATTTTTTTTTCAGTCCATATTTTGTAAATATTCTACATAGATTGAAGTCTATACAAATCCTCTATAATTATAAATTTAAAAACGTTATAAAGTAAAATTTTTTAAAATAATAAATATATTAAAAATGAAATTTATAGTTTTGAAACTTTGATATAAGACAATTTTAAAGAAAATGTAAAAATAAATAAAAAACAATTGACGAAAAAATAAATGATAAGAATTATTTAATATTTTTGAAGAAAAATTTTTATCAACTCATTAGAATGTATGCTTGGATATAAAATTGAATTGTTAAACAAAAAGTAAAGGAAATCAACAAGTTTTGTCAGAAAGAATTAATTCAATTGGCAATAAAATAAAAATGTTGGAAATTTTTGAAGTCAAGAACTCAAATTTTTTCCATTTTTTGCGTCGCAGGTGGTTGAAGATTAAGAAGAATATAGAGGGATTTAAGGTTTAATTGGCAGGGATAATGCGAGATTTGAGGGTTAATTTACTCATCTCACTTTAAATCCTCTTAATAAAACATCCAATTTCCGAATCCCACTTATCACGCTAACGATATCCATTTAAATCCCATTAATCACTGAAAATCTACCGATATCCCTCTAAATCCTCAGATATTCCTCCAAATTCATCTGAATCCATGCAACCCAAAAAGAAATTAGACATAACTTGAAGACTTCCCAAGTTATACTGTATCGACAAAAACATTATCAAGATTGCATAAAATTTTGCACTACAGGATATTGGAAATATGAAAAATAAAAGAGTAAAGATTAATGAAACTTGGGGAATGTTCGTAGATTAGTTAAATATATCAATCTACCAAATTTCGACTTTTGAAACGACGTATAACTCAAACTTTTCATTAAATATCTATTTGTTTTCTTAGCGATTTTTATTTATTTCCACGTTGTTTACAGCCACAAGCATTACATAAATGAAATCCAACTTTTGAATGACGGCGCCAGCGTGTTGTCTGTGTAACTCCGCAAGTATAACATTTACGATCGTTCATAGATGGCTGAAACAAAATTCTGATTTTACTTATAGTATATGTAGCTTCATCGCCGCAAGCGAAAATTTTTGTGATTACTTTTAAAGAGCCGGAGGAAAATTGCGTACAATTTCCCTAAATAATGATAAAGACAAACCTTATTAGCTTTAGACAACAAATTTAATTGTCTACAACTTCCAGTCCTTCGATTATAATCGCCACAAACTTGACACAAATAATATTCTTTTAAGAATTTAAACCAATGCGTGCCTTGGTTAAATCCACAATAGAAACAATGTCGTTTGTTTCCTTCAACAATTTCGCCTATAACAATTAAGTATATAATATTATTTAATAGTGATTTACTCTGATGTATAGGGCCACAAGGATTGAGTTAGTCATAAATAAAATAAAATTTACCTATTTTATTGCCAATGTACATACTTCGACTTTTTTCTTTCAAATATCCAACTTTTTGTTTTTCTAACAATTCAATTTTATATCCAATTAAATTAATTTCCTTCCAATAACTTGACAAAATTTTCTTTTTATAATTTTCACTGTTTTCTATTAACATTTCTTTTTTATTACTTTTAATATTTTCTAAACTCTCATCCAATATAGAGGTTTCATAATAATTATTTACAATAGTAAAATTATTATTTAGGAGCACCTTAAATTTTAAATTAAATTTATGTATAGTAAGGTAGCTGGGTTATAGCTATTTCTCTCCTTTAGCTAGTGCAAAAGGTTATTCTGCGGCTGGGAGACAGGACTGATAACCGGACTTAGTAAGCGGGCCTCAATAGACCAGACTTAGGCATTAAATAGCTATATGCTTTACAGTATTTAGGTATAAGTTATTGTACTATACCTGTTTTTCCAAATCAGGCAGAATTTTTTGAATAATTCCATTATTTTCAATTCCAATAAAAATTTTTCTCTTTAATTGAGAGATATATTTTGAAGTATTATTTATTTTGACATTGAAAATATTTTTATCAGGATTAAATTCAAGTTGGCTATACAGTTTAGGGTTACCGTAGAGATTATCGTCTAATTTATTCTTTGTATTTAATTTCTTTATCAATACAAAACGTTTCTTTATTTCAACATTTTTTAGATAAATAAATTCTCTTTTTTCTTCCCAATCATCCTTGATTTTCACTCCAACGTTAACTACTCTTCCATTGCAATTTAAAGTTAAATAAATATTTAAATATAAAATACAAAGAATTATAAATTTAAACATCCTAAATAAAAAAACAAATAACTCTTTTAATAACTATGTTACAATTGGAGGTTGTCCGGTTTTGTCCGAGAGTTTCCGAGATTTAACTAATGTTGACGTGCACAAGAATAACAGTTTATCCATGTAGAAATGAACAATGTATTTAGGCGAAGGTGAAAAGAGCCGGAACAGACGACGAAGATCGGTGACTAGCCCCGCTAGAGACTGACGCTTTCACTAGCTATAATGACACCAATACACAACAAACTAACTACACTATTTTAATATTAAAATATTAAATAAATCAAGGTTAAAAACCTAAAATTTTTATAATTTTTGATTTGGGAGGTTTAATAATTAAAAATTAATAAAAATAAAAATAATTAACTAGAAGACACATTTAGACTACAAAAATATCAAAAATTATGCCTTGCCTTTCAGTTTATCAAAATACTATATGATGGAATATTTAAAAAATATAAAATAATTCTTAGTTAAAATAAAACATTTTAAAAATAATTAAAAGACTGGCAAAGACATAGAGGGTCCCAACTACATATTGTACTATTTTAGACTTGATCTAAAGTTTAAGTCGTTTATTTCTTTAATGTTTTGCTAGACTATTTAAAGAATGCACTTAAAGAAATCGTATAAATATGATAGGAAGGAAAGATCAAAGCCAAATGACTTAGATTATTTCTATAGTTGATTGGTAGTCTCGTATAAAAATTTACAATATTTTAATTAAGAAAGAGGAACTAAACTCGAGGTCGGAATTTTAAAATTATTCTATTCCGTAACGTAATTCCTAAAGATGCTATGGAGATAAATTGAGAGAAATACAGAAAAAATTGAGAGAAATACTGAAAAATATTAGGGTACCGCCCCTGACTCTAAACTAAGCCCACAAATTGTCGCAACAGAAATTTAACTTTTTCTAAATGATTTTTGATTGTCCTTCCTCAGATTGTGTAATTTTACCAAAACTTTTAATTATTGTCAAATATTCGTCACTAAAACAAATTTATTTAACCCACCCACCTTTTTTTTATTTGCAAAAATTTTAGGGAAATAATCCTATTGTAGTATTATTTTCACAATTAAAGCTTAACAACAATAGAATTTTGAACTTAAATATAAGAAATGTATTAATTTTTGTATTATTTCTATTTTCCCCTATTTAACTAAAATTCACAAAAAAATTTGTCAAAAAAATTAATTAAAAAATTTTAATTTATAAATCGGCAACATTTTTAAATTAAAAATCATTTTAAATGTTCAAACAATTTTAAATTTCTTCCATTTTTTTGTCGGTTCTGATTTTAGAGTGTGCAGCCCAAGTAGTACGGCGCAAGGCCATAACATGCTTCAAGATTTCTGAATCTTACCAATTTTAGTTTAAGCGATTCTTCTCATGGAGATAAAGAGTTGATACCAAAATTGATAAGGGTCAGAAATTTTCCAGCGATGTACTTTTTCCCTATGTACTTTTTTTACAAGATTTTGATACTTTTGAGTGGCATTTTGTCGATCGGAGCCCTGGAAAACGGCAATGGAAAAGCCTTTCTAGCAATTTAAAATTTAACAGAAAACCTTAGAATGTCATAGGTTCAAAATGGTAAAAAAGTAAAAAGTGATATTTATTGTATTGAAGGCTTGACTGTGAGAGTCATACGATATATCTTGAAAAATCTCGATCTCAATAACGAAACTTTTCGTTTGGGATCATGTTTTTATTTAGGTATATCTCCAGTCTCTTAAATGGAGATGTTAAGAAATATTAAATGTCTCATCTATCTAAAAATCGGGACACGCCCAAGTAGACGCGCGGCAGAACGGTGCAAGGCCATAACTCGCTGGAAAATTTCTGACCCTTATCAATTTTGGTATCAACTCTTTATCTCCATGAGAAGAATCGCTTAAACTAAAATTGGTAAGATTCAGAAATCTTGAAGCATGTTATGGCCTTGCGCCGTACTACTTGGGCTGCACACTCTAAAATCAGAACCGACAAAAAAATGGAAGAAATTTAAAATTGTTTGAACATTTAAAATGATTTTTAATTTAAAAATGTTGCCGATTTATAAATTAAAATTTTTTAATTAATTTTTTTGACAAATTTTTTTGTGAATTTTAGTTAAATAGGGGAAAATAGAAATAATACAAAAATTAATACATTTCTTATATTTAAGTTCAAAATTCTATTGTTGTTAAGCTTTAATTGTGAAAATAATACTACAATAGGATTATTTCCCTAAAATTTTTGCAAATAAAAAAAAGGTGGGTGGGTTAAATAAATTTGTTTTAGTGACGAATATTTGACAATAATTAAAAGTTTTGGTAAAATTACACAATCTGAGGAAGGACAATCAAAAATCATTTAGAAAAAGTTAAATTTCTGTTGCGACAATTTGTGGGCTTAGTTTAGAGTCAGGGGCGGTAC